TACCTGTCATCACTCTGCCTGAAACTATCAATTAATTACATTAATTACAAAAGACCTGAATAGCTGAATTACAAATATGTATAGTCAAATCTACTCTTCGTATAATATAATAAACTATTCACTTTATTATTTCGTTTATTTCTTACATATAATTGAAACCCAATCCAAAATCCCATAAATATTTGTGTTCTGTTTTTTCATGGCACGCATAAAATGAAAGAAAACATTGTTTCTATCACATACTGGTTAATTTATAAATAATTAAACATATGTCTTGTAATATTTTACCATCCCTAAGGAACGATGGCGACAAGTTAGCTATCTAAATCTAGAAAGTATATTTTTACTGTCTTATCGATAAGTTACACATGATAAGATTTTTTGGAAGGAGACAGAATAATTTACAATGCGACTTATAAAACGCGGACGGATAATTTATTATTATTGCATTTCCCAAGTTTCCTTTCCGTTATTTTGTATAAAAAATATCGTGCAATATAGTTAAATTCAATAAGTTGAAAAAGTATGATCTAAACTTCTCTTGTACTCATCAACACTTGTATTGAATGGTCTATATGTCCAATTTATAAATACACACTATACAACCTTTTTGGTTGCATAGTACCGAAGAATACACACAAACTACGAGAGGGGGCGTGTTGCGCTGGTTACTGATTAGGTATACGCGTCATATGAATTGAAAAAAAGCGTGAAAAACGTCAATTAAGAAAGATTTAAGAAGTAACTATTTAATTTTGTTATCGATAAACTGTGATCATATATTTTGGGAAAAGCTAACAAATCAAGAAATGTTTTACTTGATTATCATTACAATTAAAGATAAGATGAAAAGGATAACTCGTGGCGCCTGTTATAACGACACAGCAAAAACTTGATTCACACAAATAAAAGTGTAGGTGGTACGCCTACAGTTTAATTTGTTTTTCAGGTATAGAAGAAACATTGCTACATAATTCTAAAAGGCGTCGAATAGTATGAAATTAAAACTCAATTTTTCCAACATACCACCTACTGGAGGAATTAAAGGCATAGTAAAGAAAAAAAATCCATACACAAATTAGTTGCTACGGAAAGCACATTGATTCCTTTTCGTGGTTTTTAGTATCCTTTTTCTTGCTCATTATTACAACTATATCTATGTATAATAATCGCTGGCATTTTTTTGTTTCTTTGCATGATTAGTGCGTGTTATAAAACAATAAAATATTATTATCAACATAAAGTTTATTGCATTCGATAGATATTTTTTAATGCTTGAAGTTTTAAGAAAATGTTTTTTTTCTTTTAACGATGGTTTTTTTAAATCATATTTATTTTCGAAAAATCTAATCGAACTATCAACACTTCGTTTGCTTAGAGTGAACGCGGTTAGAGTCCAAGACCGAACTGTTTACAGTATCAAATTCACTTGACTGTGCACAAACAGACCTTATAACTTGCTTAGTATTTTTGACCGACTTCCCAAAAGAAGGAGGTACTCAATTCTTTTATTTCGTATATTTTTTTTTTTTCAACAAATGGAACAATTTTCAAACATATACGCATTAAAAATTTTATATACAGTCATGTATAAGCCAGTTTAGCTCTAACGGATTTCGATTGTTCGATAACAAACCACTTATCATTTATGAATGTTGTAAATTAAAGCTTTTCGTAATGCACGATCGTAAACTGTTCGACGTGGAGGAGAGGAGAGACCGTATTATAATGTATGACGTAGGTACTTGTATAATGTCCCTGAAAACATAAAATAACTCATAACAATATTTGTTTTGCAAATGAACCGGCTGGAGTGGACCTACTGTTTAATTTGTTACCGACAGCGCGGCAGCCATAAATACAAAACTTTTTATCTTAAAACAAAAGAACTTTATTTAAATTATTTATATTTTTACAATATTAAACTCCAAATGTCAATCACATCTTGCTTTTTCTTCTACTGTTTTTACTATTTTTTTTTTAATAACCAAACATGCTAAAGTCTTGGTGGCAAGTATGCAACCTTTTTGGCTGTATTCATACCTCTTATCAGCCTAATAAGTTGTGTTTTGCACTAAAACCTGACAGAAAACGTTAGCAACGTAAATATTTTCTGTATTTTACTTTATGAGGTGCGACTTCTTTAAAATCTTCTGCCTTTTGCCCCTTGGTAACCCCCCTTTGAAGGGGAAAGGGGAAACATTTATCTGTTAAAAATATATCTAATATTCACACAATGAATATTTATGTTAAGAATTCATGTACATCCCAGCCAAGACTCTAGCGTACCGTAAATTACTGTCTAGGCCTTAGTCAACTACAAAACTACAAATCCAGTACTAATTGCTAAAGTAAAAAAAATGGGCAAATATGCATAATCAGAATGATTTATTAAAGGATTACATTGTACGTTCAAGTCATGTTTTAGAAGCGTCCAGTTTGCGTGTAGAAGGATTAAACAGGGACAGGTATGACGGGGTTAGCGACAATAACCGCATCGGGATCGTAAGACGGGTCGGGTCTCTCGATAACCAAGTCTGGGTGCACTGGCGCAGGCGCGGGAGGGTTCACTGTTTCAATGACTACAGGGTTGCCAGCGACAGCTTGGTTTACCTTAATCAAAATGTGGACTAGCGGAGGCAGATCAGGGACAGTAAGGGCACCACCGTCGGGAACGGGGAAGGGAA